ATATTTGAATTATCATTCAAATTGAAGACCACTGTATAAATTAACGCGCGCTATCTGACATCTTGGCCGTTACCTCGAAAATAATATAAAAATGGATGTAATTAAGACTCTTATTTGCTTCCTTAAATACGAATGTGCGAATCAAACAGGAAATAAGCTGGCCATCCAAATACTGTAACTTTAAAAAAAAAAATACATGCAAAAGTACCTGATTTTTACATCTACAAGAGCTTATTTGATTTATTAACATTTATACATATAATGATGTCAGATGTGAATATTATTCTTACGATCTTGCATCGCACAAGAGGATGTAATCTTAAAGACCATCCCAGTCTCATCGATACGAAGGACCGGGCCTATATATATATATAGATCTTTCCGCGATTTTTTATACGTATCTCATCTCCGCGGGACATTTCTTTGTGTCGCAACGAGATAAACGTCTTCGCTCTTTTGGTGACGGGACGAGAAACGGTTCGATATACTTATATAGCGTACGCGAATGTTCCCGTTCACTGTATATCTTCCCTTATTGTCTCAAGTCATTCGTTTGCGGGCCGGTTGACAGTTTTTGCTCCTTCCTTCTCCCTCCTCTCCCTCTCTCCCTGGACGTGCCTGGATTGCCCCGTCCCCGATACTACGTGCTCCGATAATTAAGACGTTTCCATTTGGAGTTGACATGCGCGCGCGTCGCGGTAATCTGGATATGCGTGTTTCAGCGACGACGATCGGAAAAAAGCTAATCGTTATGCATCACGCCGGCAATTAATGGTGTATGATCGAAAGTCATGTTCCTGGAAGGAACGCAGATCGAACGGGCAAAAAGTGCGAATACACACACACACACACGTATGCGTGCGTTTTGTGAGATTTATCGATATCGAAGATGAATCAGAGAATCGATGACCATTTTTAGATGTCCACCGCGTATTTATTAAGCACCCGCGTAATTGGACACAAAGGACGCTGACTGACAATGAGATGCAAGCTTTTGTCAAATGAGCTCTCGGCATAAATCTTTCGGGGGGGAATAAGTAATTTGTTAATTGTTAAAAAACGAATTTTTTTCTTGGCTACATATATATATAACTGTCCGATATCTTATTATTTTAAAATGTTGACAGGCGTGTTATAGATGTATTTTCTGCTTTTGTGCGTAGTATTAATGTATTTCTGGAATTTTAGAACTCTTTGTGCGCGTGTTAAAACATTCGATCAATTATATCAGAATTGTCAAAATATTGAAAGAGAGAACAGAGAAAAGCGGACAAGCGAGCTGCGAAACATTAAAGTTGATGGCGGACAATCAAGATTATCAAAATTCGTTGAAAGCTCTTGTCAACCTTACCCCTATAAAAAAATATTAGCATAGAATTACATCTCTACAATATAAGTTCACATACTTTTTTTTTTACAGTGCAGCCAATCTAACAAATCGAACCATCGACGACACCGCACTCTATGCGCCTTTTTTATTTTAAATGCAGCTCAAAGTTCTGCTGCTGAGTCCACTCTCTAGTCTCATCGCCTTAGCAATGACGAAAAGCGTGCATGGAATATGGAAGAGCAGTGCTCGACATGCAGCTAAATTTTGGATAAAGTTGCCTAATTAATTCGACGAGTACTACATTTACTCATAATTTATATTATCATGTGACATGAGGACAAAAATGATGAACGCATCAAGCGTGTTGCTTAAGGATACTGCGAAAATGCACGATTCCAAAATATCATCTATGTTGCCATCTTGAATCAGCTGTCAAGCAGACGATACGCAGGTATGGAGCATATTTTGACTGACAGGCTCTAGTATCTAATTATCATAATTCTCTATTAATAATTTGAAAATAAGACGATTATTAAAGCGTGCCTTTTTATCTTTTTTTTTGTAAATATTTTCTGATATTCTTTTATATATTTTTTGAAAGATATATATAAGTGTCGTAAATGTGTGTGTGTATGTGTGGAAGTTATATTATAATTGCAAGAATAATTGTAGCATGATTGTAAATATTATTACTATATAATTGCAGCTTTTAGTACATCATCTGATCTTTAGAGGGACATGGAAATATCTGAAGATAATGTACAAGTAAGACATCAGCCAACAGACTTGATCTCAGTATACAGTAATAAACGGAAGAACGATGACTCTGATACGGATCTTAATGAAGTCGAGATAGTTACGGCAGCACAGCATTTTTGTGCTATTGAAATCAAAGAGACCAAGAATCATCATGTAATCAATGATAAAGCGATTGATAAAGACCAAATTGAAGTGAATGAATCAAATACTTCAGATTCTACTTTAGGAAATGTACAAAATAGCGAGAGCAGTGTCATTGCTAACGTATTAACAGATTCAATTTACTTAGATACCTTAGATTCCGATTCCATAAATATTGAGTTCCAGAAACAATCAAATGCAACAGAAGTTTTTATTCGGAATGATGAACAAACGACCAATTACAATATATCTACAGTGACGATACCGAACGAGTTTTTAGATGGTCTTAATATCAATATAAAAAAAGAGGATGATGAAGATCATGGGACCCTATATACAGCGGAATGGTTATGCGATGATAATAACGATGCCAGCATACGATTAAGAGTCTTGAAAGACGCTAAACAAAATATACAAGTCCCTGTTAATATTGACTCATTGACTGGTGTAATCACAGTAGCGAAACGTAAAAATCAATTAACGGACGGCAAAGATTCCTTGGAAAAAACTAAAATATCCAGAAAATCAAAAAAACATGTCAGAATAAAACCTACCGTGCATCAAGACTATAAAGAAAGATTGAGGAAAAAGGCCGAGTGTATGAGAGAGAAACGGAAGAAGCTGTACGAACAAGAGAGTGAGGAACAGCGTTTACAAAGATTGGCAAGGGAAGCGGCGAAAAGACGCGAGATGAGAATGTATTACGAGACACCGGAGCAACGAAGGAAAAGACTCGACGCTGAAGCAGCGCGAAAAAGGGAGTATAGAATGTATAACGAAACACCAGAAGATAGGAGAAAGAGATTAGACCGCGAGGCCGAGAGAAGAAGAATCAAGAGATTATCATTATATGCGAGCGAAACACCAGAACAAAGAAGGGAAAGACTTAACAAAGAATCGGCAAAGAGACGAGAGGCTCGATTGAATCAGTACGCTAAAGAGACAGAGGAGGAGAGGAAGGAGAGATTGCGAAGGGACGCTCTGAGGGCTAGGGAAATGAGATTCACAAGATCCGCTATTGAGACGGAAGAGGAGCGTAGGCAAAGGTTAGTAAAGGATGCCTTTAGAAAGAGGGAGGTAAGGATGCATGGGGGCCATTCGGTGAACAATAATTTTACGGAACTCCGAACCGTTCGCAATTTTCAAGAATTGAACGATGTGCAGATAAGGGACAATCCCGAAAATCAATTGGACGGCCATTACCTAAGCAACTGGATGATGTGGTTTCAAAATACATTGACACAACCAGTTCACGGTGGAGAACAGAATGTAGAACCACAAGCGCAGCATAGATAGAACTTGTGTTTTCCGCTATGGATGTACTTTCAGGACTTTTGACACGATCACATGAACGTTACTAATAACAGCGACCAATCTGAATGTGCTTTACTTATATGCTTGCTATACAATTTACAGATTTGAAGCGACAAAATTAATATTTCTGACATGTACAAGACTTATGTTAACAATAGCAAATTAAATTCGCGTTTTAGAGAAAATAGCTATTTTATAATATTTATAAATGCCGAGCGCAAGTATAGTTATGCTGTTTTCATTATGAAAAAAAGAACGTAACTTATTTACATTATATTAAAAAAAATATGACGTTATATTAAAGAAATAGATAAATCAGAGAAAAAGAAACTGAACACTCTCTTAGTGTTTGCATAATGTGTAATTATGCGATGATTATTTGAATATATAAAACTATTCTGGTCGTAAAAGAGATGAGAAATACATCAAGAAGTAATAGTGTTACTCTTTGATGTTAAATGTGTAAATAAACTTTGCTGACACGTTAATATGATGAAAGAATAAGAGTTGTATATTGCGAAGAACAAGAGAAGTAATTCTTACCAGTGCCTTTTATTCAATGTTCAACAAAATGAACGCTCAGACTGAAATATATTTGATATATACGGCATTTTTTTTGAACATGAGTGAATGATTCTGGTGAAAGTTTGACTGTCTCTTGTGCTATTTGTACAGTTAGATATTACTATGTACTTCTTTCTACAGTTCCTTTGTAATGAATATAATAAATTGTGTTATAACATATAGATATTACATATATCATCTATTTTTTATGAACATACTTATTAAAAAAATTATTACATATATTACGAATTTGCATAAAATTATGATATTGATCTATGATGAAATATCCATATTTCATATAATATGTACATTTCTATATACTACAACTATTGTAATTATTATTTTTATACATTATTTTAAATTTTGATATATTAATATATTGTAATTATTAGTGATAATTATTAGACCATCACTTTATTCTGAATCTAATAATCATCCTTATTCTAATACATATGTCAAAATAGTCTAATTCCTAATTCATTTAAAACTAGATATATCTTATTGTTGGTGCGAAAATGTTTGCTAAAAACATTTTTGTATCATATATATTTGTACAATTTGTAGCATATGAAAGCTGGTACCAAAAATTTTCTAAAGATTATAACATATCTATTGTAATAATTCTTGCAGATGAAAAGTATTATATATATATGTATGTATGTTTATATGTTTGCTATTGACAGAATCAATATGAACATTTGTATAAAAGAAAATGTGTTTTGAAAATAGATATACATATATAAGAGGATATAATCAGAAAAACCTAATGCAGTAAGAAATAAAACTAATAAAGTTGCTAATTCAAATTCAGGTATAATGTAATTAATGTATTGCGCATGCGCCATTTTTTAGACAGTTTAGGTTAGGCAACTTTTAGGTTTGATTTCTCATTTACTCACTTTATGCATTTGTAGTACGTATATGATAGTACACGTGCGTGTGTAACCTCAAATTGGTAAAACTTAAAAAACAAGAGAGATATATGTAATTTTTTTCATTAAATTTAGACAAATATAAAATGGGGTTGACCAAACAATATTTGAGATACGTTCCAGCAGGTAATACAAATATAATTGCAAGCCCACATTGTAATATTGTTTTTGTAACCTTGGAAGATCAAGAAGGTAGATTTATTGCTGCTGCTGCATGTGAACATGTATACATTTGGGATCTACGGCTTGGAGAAAAGGTAAAAAAAGAAAAATGAAGAACTTAATATAGAGGTAATTATAATATCTTTATGTTTTAATATATATTATATAATGATTTCAGGCGCAGGTGTTATCTGGAGAAAAGATATGTGTAACACGTCTAGCTGCATCGCCCAATAAAAGGCATATTGCTGTCGGTTACGCAGATGGTACAGTAAAGATCTTTGATTTAATCTCTGGTGAAAATGTCAGTGTATTTGTAGGACACAAATCTGAAATAACAGCATTAGCATATGATGCTTTTGGAACTAGATTAGCCACTGGTTCCAAGGTAAGAATGTTTTACAGACAGATGTATCATGCAATTCAAGTACTTATGACATTTTTTTGTAATATAACAGGATACAGATATCATTATTTGGGATGTTGTAGCCGAAACAGGAATATGTCGATTAACTGGGCACAAAGGTGTTATAACTAAATTGGTATTCATGAAAGAGCATAACATTATTATTAGCAGTAGCAAAGATACATTTGTAAAGTTTTGGGATTTAGACACGGAACATAACTTCAAAACTCTTACTGGACATAGATCAGAAGTAAGATATTTAGTTATGTTCTTATTTGTTAATTATATTATTTCTATTTAATTGAATTAATTTGATGTTTGTGCTAAACAGGTTTGGAGTCTTGTCTTAATGAAGGATGATCAATATTTAATAACAGGATGCAATGATAAAGAATTGCATGTCTGGAAAATAACCTTCCTTGATAACAAGAGCATTGAACTCGATACTGCTGTAAGTGCTTTGGATCTTGATGAAGAGGACGAGGAAAGCATGGATATGGATATGGTATGTACTTACATTTGTATACATTATAACTATACACTGAGTTTATAGCATTATTTGTCTGTACATGATCAGAATAAAATAACAAGATTGAATATTTTATATTTTTATAGAAATATCCTATAAAATGTAAGAAAATTGGAGGTATATTAAGAGCAGGTGGTGGCCGAGTTACCTCATTAGAAGTTGACTCTACCTGCAAAGTTGTTGGATGTCATGGAGTGGGGAATTCCATAGAATTGTTTCATCTATTACCCAATGATACAATAAAGAATAGATTTGCGAATAGATTGAGGAAGGAAAGACGTAAAGCTCAACAGTGAGTTAAAATTTATGTTAAAGTTGGAAATTTATTTGTAAGAAGATTCAATTACATATACATGTTCTGTCATCATCAATAGGGAAGGGAATGATACAGAGAAGGAGCTATCAAATGCACCATCTCTCAGGGATGAGATAAAACGTTTACCTATTGTTCAAATATCCGGTAAAGCAAAAGGGCTTGATTTAATTATGGGCAAAGGAAACGAACTTAGAGTTAGTATAAAAGCATAAATATTAAATATAAAATTATTCGAAAAATTTGTGTTATATTTTATTTCTTTTGTGCAGGTATGCATTGGAGTGAGTAACAATTCAATTGAATTACATTCTTTGCACATGGAAGAGAACAATCCAAAAGAAGTGAAGCGTTTACGTTCAATAACGGCACATGGGCATCGTACAGATGTCCGAGCTGTTTGTTTTAGCTCCGACAATTTGGCATTTGCTACCGTTAGTGGAGATTCTGTTAAATTATGGAACAGGTAGTATACATTATGAAATATATTTTTAATAAAGAATAAATATTGATTTTTTTTCTTAACTTACATGACTTTTTAGGCCAACATTGGCGTGTTTACGCACAGTACAGTGTGGTTACGCTTTGACGGTAACATTTGTGCCAGGTGATAGACATCTAATTGTTGGTTTAAAGGACGGTAAAATGCTTATTATTGATATCGCATCTGGCGATATTTTGGAAGAAGTGGTGGCACATTCCAAGGAGCTTTGGAGCATAACATTATTTCCTGATTTGGTAATATTTTTGAACAAAGATATTTTAATAGCAGTTACTTATTTTATTGCTAATTAATATGTTTTTACATATATTTTCGCATATTTATGATATTGTGCAAATAGAAAGGGGTTGCTAGCGGTGGTGGTGATCAAACGGTGAAATTTTGGAACTTTGAACTCATTCAAGATCCTGACAATCAGATAAAGGCGAAGGTTCTTTCTGTCTTACATACAAGAACTCTTAAGCTTGAAGAAAGCGTACTGTGTGTAAAAATAAGTCCAAATAACAGATTTGTTGCCGTTTCTCTATTGGACTGTACCATTAAAATCTTCTTTTTAGATACATTTAAGGTATAGTTACCTCATTATTTTACTAGATACTATAAGGTATCATAAGATACATATGTAACTTTATCTTAAATTTGATCTCCTTTGTGTAATATTTCACATTTTTATTGTAGTTCTTTGTATCACTTTATGGACACAAGTTACCAGCATTGTGCATGGATATATCTAGCGACTCTACACTCATAGCAACCGGTTCCGCCGATCGCAACGTTAAAATCTGGGGTTTGGATTTTGGCGATTGCCACAAATCCATATTCGCGCATGACGACTCTATTACGGGTCTCTCGTTCGTACCTGGAACACATTACTTTTTTACCTCTGGAAAAGATGGAAAAATCAAACAATGGGATGCCGATATATTTCGAAAGATCATCACGTTAAAAGTAATATATTTCTGCATACTTTGTAAAATTGCGTATCGATGGCTCTATTATAATACAGCTCAATCTTTTTCTAGGGCCATACTGGAGAAAGTTGGAATTGTTGCGTTTCACCAAACGGGATTTTTGTCGCTTCGTGCGGTTCTGATAAGGTAATCAGATTATATGAGAAAACTAACGAACCGTTAGTATTAGAAGATGAAGCGGAAGAAGAAAGAGAACAACAGGAAAATGAACTAGTCACTGGGGAAACCACTACAGTATTAGGACAGAAGCAACAAGCGTTGCCTTCTAGAAAGACTGTTAACAGTGAAAAGGCTGTAAGTTGCATCACTTTAAAACGCATAATTTTTGTAAGATAGATATCTATTTTATGTTATACATTTTACTTATATATATATTAGGCTGAATTGATATTGGAATGTTTGGAAGTGTCCAAACAATACGAGACAGAATCGAATACAGCTGTTTCTGATGGTAAAGCACCGCCTCTTCCTCTGTTAATGCAAGCTTACAATTGTACAAACACAGAAGACTTCTTACTGGAAACCTTTAAGCGTGTTAGGGCAAGGTAAAATGCAATAAATGGATTAATGTTGTTGCATAAGAAAATATAATTGAAAATGTTGTATATTTCAGTGAATTGGAAGAAACCTTACTGTTATTGCCATATTCTGCCGCCTCTGATATTTTGCAGAGACTCCCCAGCTTGTTGAAAAGAAATTATCATGCTGAGTTATTAGCCAAATTAGCTTTGTGCTTAATTCAAGCATATCACAGTCCAATAATAGCCAATCAAAATCTTTTGCCTACATTAGAAATCGTGAAGAAGCTCGCTGTAGAAAGGATATCCACTTTAAGAGTAATATAAACTTATTGATTGTATATATTACTTATAAGAATGCATTTAATTATTAGATAAAATAATTAAAATAATATTTCTCAGGATACTGTTGGATTTAATTTGCATGGTATGATGTATATCCAACGTGTTCTCGAGGAACGAGAAGGAATCAAATTTTTCAGGGATGCTACTAAGAATAGCGAACACAAAAACGAAGTCAGAAGAAATAAGGAAAAGGCTAAGAAGAGAGCGATTATGAAACTGTAGATCTTTTTGACAATATAATAAATTTTGTACATATTTCATACATAATGCATAAATGCATTTTCATTATACTTTATGTACACATACATACATATATATAAAAAGTAATAATTGTTTATTACAATAATTACAAATCTCTGTACTTTTCCATTTCTCTATCTCTATCTCTCTTTTGCGCATATGTGCTTAAGTGCATATGTACTTACAATTAATATGAAAGGTACAAAATTGTGACGCTGTACACAGTCTATACAAATCCAACTCTGTAGATACATATGCATAATCGGCGTCGATCAATTATAACAAAAATACTAAATTACATAAATAAAGCTGCATTTGTATGCATATGAAAGTATAAATTTACATAATAAAAACAAATCGATCTGTCTTTAGCAAGCAAAAATTAAAAATAATATATCTATATGTGTACATAAAATGTCACAACATAACCTCTTTGATATAGGATCACTGTTTATCTGCATTTCCTGTAAACGAAGATAGAGAATGGATCACGAGGACGAATTTCTTAATGCCTTCTTCACACAGGTCGCTCAATTGTGCTCCGAGAAGGCTAAGGAAACAGTTGTGAGTAAAGATAATAAAAATAAAAAATTTGAATTGTTATATACACTAATGTAATATAAATTTAATTCAGGAAAAAGAAAGGGAATCATGTAAACAGATGCAAATGGGTCCATGGGGAATGCTTCTGCTGCATTTACCACAGATAGCTATAGCAGAACGTTCATATGCAGATTTAGGTTTCCTTCATACTAAAAATAAGGGCTTCCTTAGGAAGGATGTATGCATCCAGCAATTATCTAAATTGAAAATTGTTTGTGATTATCAAATTTTATATGTTAATATTGTTTACAGAATTCCTTAAAAACTGTATACGAATCTTTAAAGTCTGATTTAAAGAGATTAGAGGAAATGACAAGAGGAACAAACTCTATTGGTGCGACAGTCGCGAATGTTTCCAATCAACTCTGCCAATTCATCACGGCAAGAATCCAGCTGATAGATTTGTCAGTATATTAGTATGTTGACTATCTATCTTTAATCTCATATTTGTAATTATTATATTACAGTTATGAGAAAATGTACAATGTGAGTGCAAACAGCAAAGTTATGAAGCATCAAGAATTGCTGCAATGTATAGAAGAAATAGTAGAGTGTCATTTATTATCCTGTTCTCACTTAGCATTAACTGCTATTAAGACAAGTTTAACGTAAGTGTCGTTCTTAATTCTTTAAAAATATGAACTTTGATTTATAGTATGTGAAATAAGCTAATAATTTTCATTATTCAGATTGGAATGTGAAATACTAGTACAATTAATGAAAGCGCAAGTAGAAGTTCAAAACTGGAGGTTCCTACCAACTTTGATGGCTCTTTATGGAGCGCAAGCACGAATGTCAGCTTGGGAAAGAACTCTGCAAAGCAAGGAGGTTAGCAATATATCCGAATAAGAGAACATCAAAGCAGCTTTTCTAGTATTCTAATCTGAGATTTTTTAGTCTTGGAAATTGGGCTTTGGTGCAACATTTCTCAAGGCGAATCAACAACCGGCATTGTATCAATGGCTGGTGAAACTACGCAGTGCCATATTAGCTAAGTGTTCTTTGTATTTTCACACTACTTTAAGTCAACAAGCTAGTCCAGGGGAAATGAGAAGTATCATGAGCAAGCAGAATGTGGATTATTATCATAAGTAAGATAGATATTATTTCTTATTGCTTGCATAGTAGATATACCATCTAATAACTAATATCTATCTAATAAACGTCTTTTTCAGGATACAGAGTTTTCAACGAAAGCATGATATACTAGCAGTATTGATAATTTTCGATTCCAGAGGAACTGAAAATTCAGGTTCGGGATATAAACATCCAGGAAGAGGAGCAGACGTGCCTCCAAGTTTTCCTGTTGTTGTTTGTTGTCCTAATGTAAGTAATAAATTTATATTAATCATTTAATTTTCTTCTGAAAAAAAATATATATTACTTACACAAATAGTACAAGATATAATAATCTCTGTTGTCTTGTATAATAATTATATTAATAAATAATAATATAAAAGAAAAATATTTTTTCAGACATTCATGCAGAAATCATTAGTACACTTGGACAATATTCAAACTAAGATAAAGGAACGTCATGCAGAACTTCTTGCTATGGATAAAGTTATATATCATAAATGCACAAAGGTATGTCAATTACAAAAGAATTTTTAGAATAAATCATAAATTGCGAGTGTGTGTTTACAGGATTTGTGTACTTATGCTTTCCACAACACTGATCCCAGAATGACTCTCGTGATTGTATTTGAAAATGGGAAACAGAGGGACAAGGAAACTCATATTACATCATTCCTGACAGATCTGTCTATGCATATCAGGTGTAATAAGGTTTACGAATGTCTGAAATTATCAAAATGAGTAATTGCGTGAAAATAAATTATACCAAAGACCTGATTGTTACAATCAAAAATTGATTATTTATCTATATATAGCTGTATAATATTATGAATAAAAAATTTATATTATATTTATATTAATTATCTTGGGAAATTGTTCTTTCTCTGTTTCTAATTCTTTTATCTTTGATAGAATTTCTTAATATAAGTATTGCTCGAATGAAATTAGAATAACTTCAGCTTAGAATAAATAAAGAATAATTTATCAGAAAGATACAAAAAGAAAAAGCAATAAGTTCTTTTAACAGTTTAATACCGCCATCTACATCCATTTTAAAGGCTAGAATTACGTACTCAAATCAACCCAAATCCACTTTCTGACATTCTAACTTCAAAGCGTGAGCGTACAGACGTAAATTCAACACGTAGTATTTCAAAGCGTTCGAGAAATAGTCATTTGTGGAGAAATTTGCAAGCATGACAGATAGCAAGAACGAAAAGGCAAAAGTCGATCTTGGATTACTTGAAGAAGACGATGAATTCGAGGAATTTCCTGCGGAAGGTACGCATCATTAAATTTGTTGGTCTTGTTGTGTGTGACATAACCTCAAAATCGCTGATTCATTAATTAGATTGGACCGCGAAGGATGAAGATAGCGAGGATATCAGTGTTTGGGAGGATAACTGGGACGATGACGACGTTGAAGATGATTTCAATCAACAGCTAAGGTATTATTTCGCCAAAAGTTTTTGTCAATATTTAAGAGAGTCAAACAAAACATTTCTTCTGTTTTAATTAAAGATTATTACATGTAAAACTTATAGAGCGCTGCAATTGTTTTCAGAGCACAACTAGAGAAACAGAAAGCAAATGAAACAACCAAGGAAAGTTAATTAGATAGTAATACATTTAATTTTATTATCTTATATAATAAACATGTAATTAAATATTAAGTCTGTGTATATGTCTAAATCTTATATTACTTCTTGCAATCTTTGGAATGTAATAATAAAGCTGTAACTTGTATACTTTGTATAATATGCACCGTATGTTTTGCAGAAATATTTTCTGTAAAATGCAGAAAATGCAATTTTTTTGTGTGTACAAAATTTAATTATTAAATATAAATGCGTAGTATAATTCCAGAAATGCATATAGTGCCTTTCCATAAGTGACTCGTTTCATCTTGTTTAATTGTTAGGAGCCATTATTCTCTAATGGAACAAATACTTGGCATATCTTATTGTAAATGTATAATCAGGTACAGTCTTTATTTTAAAAAGTCTGTCGGTTTTTGCGAAATGTAAACAGTCAACACATATATTCTACATATATATGGCACACATCAATTTTTTTACATAAATATTTTGATATATCTTAATGATTCCCACATTAAGAGAGTAAAACAATGTATAAATCTTGCAAATTACTAAACGATTTTTTGTCTAAAGGACTGAATAAAAATTGAAATTAATTCGTGTCATGATTTGTTTTACAGGAAATCAATAGTTCTGATATTAATGCATCTAATATTTGCATGTTTAAATCCATGTTAATCTTTTTGATTTCATATGAACTTAATAAATAGTTCAAAGCTTTATGTACATTGTCCTCACCAAATATCAGTTTTACACTATATGAGATCTTTTTCTCTAATGTGCGCACCAATTTATCTTTCAGTTGTGCATTGGTTTCACTTGTGACATTGTTGTATGATGCATCATAAAGTAATGAAGAATTACTCAAGGAGTCGAATAACCACAGAATCATTTTCTGGAAATAAACTTAAAGTTATGAAAAACTCATAAAAAATACAATGCTTTTTTTCAGACTTAATTCTCACCTGCAAGATTGGCTCTGAAATGTTTCCTAATAGCAATTTAGTCCATCTAACGACCGCTTCCTGTTGTAATGTATTATTACTAGCAATCCCTGTCAGAAGCTCACAAATCAGATCTATGGTCGTACATGTTAATGATATATTAGAATCCAACTCATCAACTTCATCTGGAAAACACAATTCATTTTTGACTGTTACGAAACATAATTTTGTAAATACAAAAAAATACTATTATTATTGTAGCTACCATCGTACGAAGTGTTAATAGTTTCCCACCAACAATCCAGTAATTCTGAATTGCCACTGGTTTCCATTGAGTCAACTGCCTCATAAGCTGTGTCTACCATACAATATTCTGTTCTTTCTGCGATCAATTGCTGTAATTCACAAGCTAGACTTTTCTACAACAATAAACAGATATTTCAAAGAATATTTTTATTTTTACATTTTTTTTTTTTTTTTTTTTTTTTTTTTTTTTTTTTTTTTTTTTTTTTTTTTTTTTTTTTTTTTTTTTTTTTTTTTTTTTTTTTTTTTTTTTTTGTTATATATCGATTATATTTTACATGCATTATATATTATTAATTATTATTGCTATTACAAATATGCATTGTTAATATATTATATTGTTATATATTTAAATAATTAGCATACTCATGCTATGCACAATTTTAGGTTCCATTACCGATTTTATATCCTCAACAAATCTCCAAGGTATATCAGACAATGGCATTAAAGTAGGCAGAGGAGGAGCTTCTTCTTCTTGATCCATTTCGAAGCCCGGTACAACTGTCTTCAATGTATTGAAGACACCAGTTACAGTTTTAGCCAGAAATCGATCGAAACGAGGCGCTATCGCGTCCGCTTTTTTGCCTGCACTACTACTCGGCCGAAGAAAGTGACGCAATTGCGGCGGACACTCATTTGCCAATCGCGTACACAACGTCTTCAAATACATCTCCAGTTCGATCCGCCCACCCTCGGGCAACACTAGCTCGGACATAATATTAGTTAATGATGGAATCTGAAATTTATAAACATTATGCAACTATTAAATTTAAAAATTAACTGAATTTATTATTTTCTTATGAATTTATATTTAATATTTTTGTATTTTTTATAAATCTTACTTCTTCTAGACTGAGATGCAACTGAACAAAATCGGAATATTGTCTCCTGACAGTAGCAGTGGTGGTTTCAAATAGATCTACACCACGTTGCTCGACATCATCGAATTGTATGCAGTAGAATAATTGTTGCGAACCATCTGTTGCAGTATGAAATTCGGTCCATGGAATTAACAAATTCATAAATTGGCTTCCTTCATATATTACATAAGATTTTTCTTCGGCGTGCCTAAAATTTACAGATTTATATAATAATATATTTGAAACTAAACTGCTATCTTTACTAACAGTGGTGTGGTTGCTGTGGATTTCTGTTGTAATAAATTTCTAAGCCTAGCGATGGTTGTGGCGAAATCTGTTGGTTCTTCGTATACCGGTGAAATCTTATCCTCTTCTAATTCCAGATCTACATCTGTTATGCTATCTCCCCAGAGGCCTCTGTGCTCTGTAGTAGAGAGACCCTCTAAACATAGAGTCGATCTTTTTGGAGCTGCCGTTGAAGCTGCATTTTCATCTTCGTTTGTAGTAATTGCAGATGGACTAAATTTAGGTGCAGATTTTGGCAATTGCTGTGGGATCACAGCCGCTGTTGCGGATACGATGCCATCGCTCAGAGCAACAGTTATGGTACCCTGAAGGAATGATTAAATTATGTGTATTTTTTAATTTTTGTTACATGATACTGGCATTATCCTAATGTACATTTTGTTTAGTTGGAGTAGCGACAGCTTTATTTGTCGGAGTTTCCAGTAATTTTAACAAATTTCCGATCAACCAATCTGGGCAGCTTATTGCGTCTATTGTTATTAAGAGCTTCTTTGCTAAAATAGATAACAGAAGTTTGCATGGTAATGAACTAGTTAATTCCCATTGCAGAAACTCTTGCGCTAGAACGGTAACTAAATGATGTAACATATGTTCTAATATTGACACACTGCGAGAACCAGGATGTAAATATTTGTATGCTTCCTCCACGCTGGATGCAGCGCCCTTTTCGACTCGACGTAGTGCCCTGCAAAACGTGCTGATAAGCAACTTATTTGAACAAATTCTTACAAAGATAATTTTTAATAGATCCATACCTACGATATTCCTTCAAGTGTAACACTAATATATTCGCCAATTTATTAACGAGTTTTATTTTATCTATTAGACTGGCTTTCAAAACAAGTTTTGTTAAGAACTTGCTCAACAAATCTTGCGCTTCATTGGGGAATGATTTATCATTACTTATATTTTTGTACCAGATTTCTATACACTTTGCATCAATTTCTCGTATTGTGTCTGTTAAATTCACCTTTTTTCTTTTTGTTAGAGGAATGTCGTTTTTACAAGAATCTTGCGTGATTGCATTATTATTGCGTGTAACACTAGTTTCTTGTGAAGAACTTAAGTTCTTTTGGTTATCACTTTTGTAAATGATTTCTGTACTCTTGTCCTTGTCTATTGAAGAATCCAAATTTAGATGACTCACTAGCTTCTTGTAGATCCATTTGTTCATAAAATCTAAAGCAATTGGACTACTGGCTTTCAGTATGAGACGTAATAAGCAACAACTCAGCCATATAGATAAAATTGTAATAAATACAGCCCAGGAGATGGAAATATATATTGGCAGAGATGTAAGATCTGTCCATCCCTGTATAACTAAAGACAATACTGCAGCTGCTATACTAAAAACTAATAATATTTGGTTTAACCAACTCATTGGTATAACTTTCTCCATTTTGAATTTGTTGGTGCTTTTAATTAGCTATAAATTAAGCCTCACATTTTGCGTTACAGTAACCAGAACCTGTTGTAAAAAAAAGAAGACATTCTTTAATCTTCTATTTATCATCTATCATGTATAAAGCTACAAAATAACAAAATAGAATATACTCTTGATCGAAAAATCGATATATTTATTTAAACAAAAGAAGATCAATGTATGTGTATGTGTATGCGCGTGTACGTGTGTGTGTGAGTAAATAAAAAAACAATTTAGCGAGTCAACGTAAAAGAATACTACACTCGTTTTTTGTACTACATTTTATGATAACTCTGGAAACCTACCAAGTATTCATTCTTCCTTTCGTACAGCTGTTTGCCATTCTTGGCGTTTCTTCGTGGAGAGGTTAACCTCACCACATTAACGAGTTGACAGGTTGCGAGAAGATCGGCGCTCGTACGTACATGTTTTGTCACGTGTTATGACATACCCATATCGTGCGGCGATATCTTTTTTACGTTGATTTGTTCGCGTAGTGATCTTCCATCAACATTCCCGTTGCGGGACGCGACCATAGATCACGCATCTTTACAAGATAACCAGCCATGATCCATTTCTATAGATCGAATCGCGTCTCGCGGGCTCGCGAAGTTGCATTTTTTTTCAACCTATTGAGCGCTAATTTATCCGCGTCTTCCAATAGAAACTGCTGTGCCGATAGTGCTCTGAAAAATCACTCGTATATCTAGCTTCAGGTTGCATAAAACGTGTCGGAAACTTGTTACATGTATAATTAAAGAATACGTAAGAATATATAATATACTATATTATATAAATTTGTATATATAATTGGGGATTAGCTCTTCTATGATGAGCTAAACGATATGTTCGACAAATATTTTGTCACATGAATATATATATATATATATATATATATATATATGCAAATTTTCAAATTTCTTTCTTTTTCTTTACAGTTTCTTTACACCTTCAATGGCCGCGTTCAGCAGAGAAAGCGCTCAGTTATCGTCTTGTCAACACTCGACGTTGATTCGTTGGTTCTAAAAGTAAGAACCAATCACATTCGATTGCTACTAAGCGGTTTTCTCTGCTGAACGCGGCCAATAGCTATCGACAGTTACATTTTATCAACACGCGCAGCCTCTGGCGCAGCCTACATGGTGGCGCGCGCCGCGGCTATTATGTCGCCGATTTGTGAGTTGTCGTCACGTGACACTTGGCTGTGTTCCGAAATTCACTGCCAGTACTGAAAATTTATAATATACGTAACGTAAACTATAGATTTTCAGTACTGGCAGTGAATTTCGGAACGCAGCCTTGGATATGCGCTTTACATCTTTACAGTATCGCGCATATATACGAGCCTATGATTGGCTGAGAGTCGATCCGACGAAGCTTGCACGCTTGCAGAATGCATATGCACAGGGCGCAGCCTGAATATAGCGATTCTCCGTTTTCCTCGCATAATTCTGGTAACTCGAATAAATTAAAATTCTTAATAATTATTGTATATCAACTCGAATTGAGGCCCTGCGTCATACGAGCTCTATCGTTAATCGAACGCGATGTCCGAGCAGGAACGGCATATCTCTATCTCCTTGCATCGTACCTGCATATATGCACTCGCTCGCTCATCGCGCTATCCTAATTTTAGTGCTCGAGAAGGGAGGGATTTTAAAGGTAAGGACCGCCGATGGAGAGACGCCACGACCGGGATTCTAGCAGGGGCTCTATTTTTGTTATTTCTTGATCCGTGTAGGTATCGCGCCGTATATTATTTCGTCGCTTCTATTGAGTTACGTGGATCCCCCGGCACGTGGCCGACACATGGCGCGCGCCAAATATAACGAAGCTGTCGGCTGTCGCTCGAAATATATATAACTCGTGCTCATGTATGGTCTAAAGCGATCTGAAAACGATATAGAACATTACATTTGTCTCTCCTTCTTACCGCGTTCCTTCTACCGTGAACCACATTGCGATCTATTCGTTTTAACATTTTTTTTTTTTTTCTCTCTTGCGCTCTTCGTATCTAAGGTAATGCTACATCTCCTTTAAGAGAAAAAAGGGTAGCGGAGTAAAGGGTAAAACGAACGGATTGAATCTAAATCATAAATTCTTATCTTAGAAAAGCTCCTCCCGCAATACAAATTTTATAGATCGTTTTTTAATTTTGAAAAATGAGAATTTGCAAGCCATCGATTTGCATATTGATTGTGATCTTTTCTTTAACATCTCGAATACGCAAACATTAATGTCTGTGTATATTTGATATTTAGAATATTTATATTTTTTATTTCGAGAGATTTTTGAAATGACACATGGTATTATTATATATCAACTGCTTACTGTATGCAAAAGATCAAACTATATATTTCAACGATTGCGTGAGGGTGGTAAGTTTCTCTCTTAAAATCACAACTGGTTCGTGTTCTAGAGTTGTCATCGCGAGAAGAACGTTGGTGAAAGATCGTACTCTAACGTGGAGTTATTACATAACATACGATTTTATTATTATATTGTCAATTAATTGTAAGGTACAATAAGAACGCGATTTGCCGGACAGCCATATGTGAGCCGACATCGATGTGGCCGGATGTGCCTGATCATATCCCTCATTGTTGTAGTCGATAATCACGTTACGAGTGTCGCAAATGTCAAACTTGCACGATCGTCAGTGAGCGAACATGTTTTGTGTGCATAATATATATAGGTACATATGTATGCGTACGTTAATATATGGGCGGAAAAGAACTCATTACTCAGATTGTCGAAAAGATTATCAATAAATTAATTAACATTCATATATAAACAAATAGTCGTGTTGTATAAACTACAAAGTACAGTAAATGTGTAGCATAAAGGCACTTGAGTAATTGGTTTTTTTTTTTCTGCGATCTCGTCTCATATCTCATCTCTCTCTTTTTCTCTTTTCCTCTTTATCTCTCTTTTCCTTCCCTTTTCTCGTATCTTTGTATCCTGTCATGAATATTGTATAATTTGTAAGTGCATACCGTGTGTATAGAAAAGGAGATAAATAAGGGAACGAAAAGAGTCATGGTGATGGTGCTTGAATGAACGTTTGATTAATTCTTGACGGTGTATTTTTTAGAAGCATTTGCGGTGAACGATACCGGGGCCGGATTCGTCGTATTCTTGCTTGGAAATCCACATCTGCTGGAAGGTAGACAAAGAGGCCAGGATGGAACCACCGATCCATACGGAGTATTTCCTTTCGGGTGGAGCGATGATCTTGATCTTGATGGTTGAAGGAGCGAGAGCGGTGATTTCCTTTTGCATACGATCAGCGATACCAGGGTACATGGTGGTGCCACCGGAGAGAACGGTATTAGCATATAAATCTTTGCGAATGTCGACGTCGCATTTCATGATGGAATTGTAAACGGTCTCGTGGATACCGCAAGATTCCATACCCAGGAAGGAAGGCTGGAACAGCGCTTCGGGGCAACGGAACCTCTCGTTACCAATGGTAATGACCTGACCATCAGGCAACTCGTAGCTCTTCTCGAGAGAAGTGCTGGCGGCAGCGGTGGCCATTTCTTGTTCAAAGTCCAGGGCGACATAGCACAGTTTCTCTTTGATGTCGCGGACGATTTCTCGCTCGGCTGTGGTGGTGAAGCTGTAGCCTCTTTCGGTAAGGATCTTCATGAGGTAGTCGGTAAGATCGCGTCCGGCCAAGTCCAGACGGAGGATGGCATGGGGAAGGGCGTAACCTTCGTAGATGGGTACGGTGTGAGAGACACCGTCACCGGAGTCCAGGACAATACCGGTGGTACGACCGGAGGCGTACAATGAAAGGACGGCCTGGATAGCAACGTACATGGCCGGGCTGTTGAAAGTTTCAAACATAATCTGCGTCATCTTCTCACGATTAGCTTTCGGATTCAGAGGTGCTTCCGTAAGAAGAACCGGATGTTCTTCGGGAGCTACACGCAATTCGTTGTAGAAGGTGTGATGCCAAATCTTCTCCATGTCATCCCAATTGGTGATGATACCATGTTCTATAGGATACTTTAATGTCAATATACCTCTCTTACTTTGCGCCTCGTCGCCAACGTAGCTGTCTTTTTGACCCATACCGACCATTACGCCCTGAGGAACGAGATATCTGACGTTACGTAAAAGCGTTTAAATCAAAAGATACGTTAGCCAAATTACTTTCTTCGATAAGTCTAATAGCATTTTTGACTAAAGCGGAGTTGGGAAAGATTTAATCGCTCCGGAAATGATTAAATTTAATTTTTATTTAGAGGTTTGACTAAAAATATATTTAGATTTAATTGGAAACCTGAGGCAAAGCTATAATGCTTTAATCACTCTTGCAATAATCCCTCTTTAGTCCAAAATATTATATATACATGTATTGCGCTAATTAAAAAAAAAAAAAAAAGATTTTAACAAATCTAGTTAATAATAATAACGTTTGTCGTATGTTGATAGATCTATAATGTAGATTAGATAGGTTTACAAATATTTCTCTGACCAACCTGATGACGGGGGCGGCCGACGATGCTAGGGAACACGGCACGCGGTGCATCGTCCCCTGCGAATCCGGCCTTGCACATACCGGACCCATTGTCCACAACTAATGCCGCAACATCATCGTCGCACATCTTGATTGGCTGTTAGTATTACTTTCTGAGAACACATATCGAAAGATAGTGTAAGTTGTTATATTATTAATTATAAAAATACACTGTAGGATCGAGTTATTCTTGATCAGTAAATTAATTTGATTAATCTTTAACTAGATTGTGTTCAAGTTATAATACAAAAGAGAAAGCTAAGCGCCTTCATGTTTTTAAGAGATATAAAAGATATTTACAGAATTAATTTTAATGAAAAAAATTGAATCGGCTGCTAAAATAAATTTCAAAATTATATCATATTAACATTCACTTATGCACATTCACCAAATATCACTTCACGTCTTATTCGATTACGCAAACCTCTCCGATTTATTTCGCACCATTTCTCCTCAGAGATTTCCGGAAAGTATCATACGATCAGCGAGACTTCCTACCAGTTTCAAATACTCGCGATGCTTCAATATAATACCGTTTCTTTGAATTACTGCCGATCCTGTGATATCGAGCATCAAGAATTTTCGCGATCGCGAAAACCGATCTAAGGAAATTCTCGAAGATGGTGCGCGCAAACCGAAGGGGTTGCTGTAATTCGCAGCTGAAACTAAGCACGGCGATTTATTACCGTTTACTAATGTGTTTCGTAGAGCCGAGAAAAAGAGATCGGCGGACGATCGCTCAGGATCGCGTTTTGTACGTCGTGCAAGAGACCGGCGAGAGCGGCGAGTGGCGCAGTGTCGGCTTCGTGGGGTCCCTTTATCCATATCGGTCGGCGGCCGAAAATAGCGGTCCGCCCCTTACATGGAAATCTGCTGTCCGCATTAACGTTGGGCCGGGAGCCCGCGTTGCCCGTTAGAGTCGGCCTAGTCCTTAGTTCGCCCTAAACAGAGGAGCGGCAGTAGAGGGAAAGCAACTCGGTGGTGGCCGACGGCCCCTGGGTCCAAATAAGGACTCGTCACGAGCCAGGGCTGTCGGCTGCTACCACGGGCCTCGACGAAGGGATGAGACTCTAAACTCAAAACTAAAGAAAATAGAGCTTGAAAGGATCAAGGTTCAAAGGATAAAATCTTGAAAGAAAGGTCGTGACAGAGTATGAAGCAGATATAGAATTCAACAAGGATCTGGACAAGATACGAAGGCTGTAGATTCCAAGAAATGAATTTTGCGAGACCAATTCTTTGAAAATCAAATCTTGAAGGATTAAATTTTTCAGAAAATTGAAATTTAGAAATATTTAATTTCTAAAAAACAAATTTTGAAGGAATGATTTTTAAACGCATAAAAAATCGAATCTTCAAAATAATAAAAATTATCTTCAAAGGATTAATTCTTTATGGTGAAAGCACCTTGAAACAGCGTCTCATTTTGCATTCTTCAAGCATCATGATGATGATACAAATTCTTCTCTTTTGAAATAAAGTAACATCCAAATAGCCCATCTGAAAAATAAATACTTTCCTTTTTTTTTAATAATTATTTTCTGATAATATGAGAACATATTCATTAGATGATTCAGCTTGTCAATTCTTATTATGCTCGCGCATATTCTTAGCGGATTGCGCTTATGAGACATCCGGCTCAGATGACACGATATGACATCTAATCATATTGACTCATGAGAGGAGAAAGAATTGCGGATGCAGATCCAAAGTCTTATTCGCTAATTGCAGCTTTTAATTTGCTATAATTGACAGATGCACGGGGCGACTCGCTCACTCGAGCCATCGAAAAGATCCCCTCCACCTTTTTGCACTGCCGGCAAAGCCGATGCTGTGCCGATTCACATTGCCGAGTTTCAACCCCGAAAGGGCGCATCCTTTGTCGTCGAGCAATTCTCGCTCATCGCTATGTTCGGACACGCATAATTGCAAGGGTAGCTTCAGTGAAAGTGCGGAGTAGTAGCCGGATGTGTTCACCGAAAAGAATACCGAAGGTAAACGTTTTCATTTTTTTCCGAAAGATCAAGAGTAATACTCTAAAAAAATTCGATTAGCTAGAAAAATCATAATCGCATCAATTAGCAAAATTTAAAATGTTTAAATGTTTAATTGAAAAACCTTTTTCACATTTATTTGTAAACTTGATTTCATGTTCGTTGTTAATCTATAGTGAGAATTAAAAACAGGAATTTATAATCCATGCGATTAAAAAGTAATTTGGCAGCTACAAAAATGGCGGTTACAAAAATAATCGGCTATATATGAATATCTGATATTATTGATTCTTTTAATACGATCACCTTTCCCTAGTTGCATTTTTAGCCATACAATACAATCTTATTGTACTATTAAACCATTTCTGCCAAAAAAAATATGTGAAATACTGTAAAATGTGTTTGGTTTGGAAAACTGCCAGATTCTCAAGACATCCTTTCCCATGTTTTATGTAATATCGGCTATGCTTTACATGTTTTATGTAATATCGTTGTAATTGTATACTTGTGAATTTAAGTAATGCATATCTATTTATACGCATATACGTCTTGTTGCAGAATTACAAGCGAGACGAGTTTGGATCAACATATGCCTGAATCACATGCCTACATTGCTACTATATCAGTAAGAGGTAATGATATTCGTAGTAATCTCGATAAATGTAATATATTAGAATGCATTTGTTGTCATATGCATGGTTTCTAATTTATTCCATATCAGTTATGCACAGGTCTAACGTCTTACCAAGCTTTTATATGAGCTTGTATAATTTTATCTGATATTATGATAACCTTAAAAACCCTGTAATTTTTATAATTTTTGACATCTTTCTTCAAAATTAGATAGAATTCTAGATAAAAATCTTGAATACATTTTATTTATGTAATCCTTGTGCATTTCTATACATATCTAATAGTTGATATGTATTAAGCCAATTAATTTTATAATGAGAAAAAAGTTCATATAAGTATTTAAACATCATCTGTTTGTAAAAGCCATAGAATTACTAAATTAATTTTTATCGGTCAATTGATTAAGTGATTAATTTAATTAATTAACAGACCGATGCATAACGTGCTATTTTTTGTAATATTTTAAACTTTAAACAATAAGAAATAAAACATATCCCGCGATAAATATCAATTAATAAAAGCTATTTAATTGAATACCGCTAATTAATTTTCGCGCAAATATAAGGGTGTCAAAGAATGAAAAATTACGAATTAAACGGCTGTAAGAATGTAAGATTGATTTATTCCATAGACGTAAATTTATATACAAAAGATGACGTATATGCTCGTATGACAATCGTTGATAAAAGACTTGCTGCCATGGACCAATAGTAATGATAGTAGTATTCGACTAACAGATCCAACACTAGACAAAGCGATGCGGCAGTGAACGATACATCTTAGGGAAAGGTGTAGCAATAATAACAATAATAATAATGAATAGCATCGAGCGTAATTGTTTAGAAGCACTTGCGGTGAACGATGCCAGGGCCGGACTCGTCGTACTCTTGTTTAGAAATCCACATCTGTTGGAAAGTAGACAGGGAGGCCAGAATGGAACCGCCGATCCATACGGAGTACTTCCTCTCGGGTGGAGCGATGATTTTGATCTTGATGGTCGAAGGTGCGAGAGCGGTGATTTCCTTTTGCATACGATCAGCGATACCAGGATACATAGTGGTACCACCGGAGAGAACATTGTTGGCATAGAGATCCTTACGGATATCGACGTCGCACTTCATGATAGAGTTGTAGACGGTCTCGTGGATACCGCAAGATTCCATACCTAGGAAGGAAGGTTGGAAGAGGGCCTCGGGTGTACGGAATCTCTCGTTACCGATGGTGATGACTTGACCATCAGGCAACTCGTAGCTCTTTTCGAGAGAAGTGCTAGCGGCAGCGGTGGCCATTTCCTGTTCAAAGTCCAGGGCGACATAGCAAAGTTTCTCCTTGATGTCGCGAACGATTTCTCGCTCGGCCGTGGTGGTGAAGCTGTAGCCTCTTTCGGTAAGGATCTTCATGAGGTAGTCGGTAAGATCGCGTCCAGCCAAGTCCAGACGGAGGATGGCATGGGGAAGGGCATAACCTTCATAGATGGGTACAGTGTGAGAAACACCGTCACCGGAGTCCAAAACGATACCAGTTGTACGACCAGAGGCGTACAAGGACAGGACGGCCTGAATAGCGACGTACATAGCTGGGCTGTTGAAGGTTTCGAACATAATCTGCGTCATCTTCTCGCGGTTAGCTTTTGGGTTCAGAGGTGCTTCGGTAAGGAGGACCGGGTGTTCCTCGGGAGCGACACGCAATTCGTTGTAGAAGGTGTGATGCCAGATCTTCTCCATGTCATCCCAGTTAGTGATGATACCGTGCTCGATCGGATATTTTAAAGTCAGGATACCTCGTTTGCTCTGAGCCTCGTCGCCTACGTAGCTATCTTTTTGACCCATACCGACCATGACACCCTGATGACGGGGTCGACCAACAATCGATGGGAAGACGGCGCGAGGAGCATCGTCCCCGGCAAAGCCGGCTTTGCACATACCGGAGCCATTGTCTACGACCAGGGCAGCTACTTCGTCATCACACATTATGGCTTTTCTTCGATTTCAACTTTCTGCAACAGAAATTATGTTGATGTCTCTCAATCTGCGATTATTATCGCGTTGATGTTTTATGTGTTAATATGTTAATCGCTTTTGATTGAATGATACCTATCTGTAATCTCATTTTTATTTTATTATTGACATGTTAACACCGTAGATTATTCTCGCTTTTTTCAGGAAAGATTCACGTTATGCATCACATTAACACTTCTTTATGTAAAAAAAGATTTTAATTAGAATAAATTATATAAATATATAATAAAGATATAAAACTAATAAAAATAAACTATATAAAAAGTATCATTATTCTATTATATAAAGAATAATAGAAAACAAAATCAAATTGAAAATTATATAATCTACGCGAGAAACAAATATTGGTACTTTTGTTCTTTAATATTGCACCAAGGATAATATTAATTGTGTGTAATTAAAAAATATCGACTGAATGAATAATTTTTTTGTTAAATACGATTTATTCAATTCTCTCTTTCTCTCTTCCCGCGCGAATTATACTTTCATATTTTATTTTAAAGACAATTTTTAAAAAACAAAAATTATAAAATTATAAAAAAGTAATTTTCTAACCAATAATAATAAATTGCAGGTTTCAGGAATTCCCCGGATAAACGTTGCATGATTCTTCACGAATGCAAATTCTAAATTGTTTTGAAATGGATATTCAATTTGAGAGAGGAATAACTGACTATTTAAAAAATAAAATGATTAGTTATCTGATGAAAAATTTAGAGAATGGCAAATTTAGAGAGTTCTTCGATAAAATTGTTCCACGGTTGCGTGAAGCTAGAATTGACCCAGTTGCCTATAAAGCGATATGCAAGGCGGTCTCAGCGTCGCGGCGCTATTTTTGCTCGCCGCGTCGCTAACTTTAGACGTACGGCCGACGGACGCTCCCTAATAAGTTCAAGCGACGATTATGGTGGTCGACACCGCCGCCGCCGCAGCCACAGTCGACGAGGACGGATAAAACATAACGCCCCTCTGCGAGGCAGCGGCGAGCGTGCCAAAATTATGCCTGCCCGCGCGGAAAAGGAACCAACGTGATTGCACGGCCGAAGACCTCGACTATGATTATGAACGCAACGACAAAGGGATGGCGGTAATGTTGATTTAACATTAACGCTGCTTGTAACTCGTTCCTCGTATCTCGCTAGTAGTACTTTAGAAAGAGACGGCTGTAAACTGTTTAAAGTTTGAAGTTCATGTTGATGTTTAAAATTTACCGACATTAAGGAAACTGATCTTTAGAAGAATGAGTAATTTTAGGAACCAAGAAGAGAGAAGAAGGCACGAGGGTGCGATTTACAGAGGATAGGTCCTTTAATGGGCATGAAAGTAGCCACGAACAATATCGCAAATATGAAACTATAATTGTATGGCTCGTTAAATATTTTTCAGCACAAGTAAGTGAAAAAAATTAATTAGTAAAAGTTTCTAAGATTTTTTAAATGTTATAAAATAATCTTTATATTTTGTAAAATTTTAATCGTACTTACAATTTTTTTTTAATATTGTGTGCATATAAGTGTTATATAATCATTTCTATCGTAATATATGTGATAGTGACTTGTATCAGTCTAAATCTTAAAGCATGTATATAAAATAATATTTTTTTAAATCATACTTTTAGATAAATTTAATTTTAATACGATAAGCGAATACCTTCTGGCACCGGTGCACGTGCAAGTATAAGTACTCACAATATTCTTCTTTTAATATATTATTTATTTTGTCTTTGTAATGTAACTAGTTTCGATCTCTACTTATTGTTAGTTTTCGCAGCCAGTAATGGACAACCAACATTGGCTGAGGAAGACTTAAATAAAGGTTAAAACTAATAAGACTATACTTGTGTGTGGAACACTTTCTAGCACATGCACTAATGCTCGAAAACTAGTATTTGCTTATCGTATTATCATTACTTAGATCTATTCTAAAAAAACAAGCCGAAAATCATACATATAAAATTACACGCTATATCGATATTGAATTTTATTTATATCTAAACTTTTTCTTATTTATAAAATTTTGCAAAGAAATAATTGAATCTATTATACTAATTAGACAATTTATCTTGAAAAATATGTTTTTAACTGTCACAGCAATTATTCTTCGACTATTGTTTAACACTGTTTGAAGGAAGATGTTAATATATTATAATTAAGTTAGGAAGTTAGTCGATGAATATTTTTAACTTTGTTATTTCTGATGTTTTTAAATATTATTTAACAAGTAATATATTATTGTTAAAATTGATGCGTTAAATGTTGCACATTTGGAGATCAAAATGAATTTGGATCGAAACAGGTCTCGCTTATTGCACGTTATTAGGATGACGGATGTGCCATACGACACAATAATTATACGAGTGGTTTGACAATGCGCCAAGATTCGATCTCAATGGATACAGTGATATGCTGCGAACTTGAACTTCTTTCGAGGAGTCGGCAGCGAACTGAAGACTTTTTTTTAGGTAAATAACAAATAGTCAGATAAAATCTATGACATCTCGATTGTGATGATATCTCGAAATTTAAAAAAAAAACCATTAAACACTTCCAGATCAATCTATCGATCAAAAATTAAAAAGAAATAAGGAGAAATAAATAAGAAATAAAAAATATGAATAATCTGTAGATTCAATTTAAATACCTCTAACGATAATTTGGATTCTGAAAATAATCGAAAATATGGCAAGCAAGATTCTTTGCTTTAAATATTATTAAATTTAGATGTTTTAAATTATACAGATCATTTTTTAATAGTATTAAATGCTTATATACTGTAAATTTAGTTTTCGAATCTTGATTAAACATAAATGAAAATAATAATAAAGCTGTTACTTTGAGAATTGCTGGTTATCACGAATAATCCTGTTATGGTACAGCAGCTTATCACTTTTGTTTGCTAATCACTACAGCGCGCGAATGTGTTGATAACATGTCTTCGATAGAGCAGACAGGAAGCGATTGTGTCTTTCAGAGAAGGAAGAGATGTAATATCCCGGCGATATAACGGAAATTCGTGCGAAAATTTACTACGTACCGTGCACGGGACAGAGGTGGAGCGGCGTCTGTGCCTCGGTGGCGTCGCGACGTCGATTATATGCTCTCATCTGGACGCCCCCGCATTTTCGTGGGATGGTGCTTGCTCGACAGGCACGAAAAAGGCATCGCCTCGCTGGGCGTCGCGACGCTCGCCGAACTTAGGCGGCCGCAGCCCCTAAGCGGTTCGACGTATACGCTTTACCGCTTTGGAAATACTCCGTGGCGCGTTTCTGCGTTGTGCTTTGGAATTCCGGTCGTTTCAACAAAAATTAAACTGAGTTGGTTAATTTCTTCTTTCTCTCTCTGGCAATCATTTCGAAATATTAATTATATCGACAGAATTGACTCACACTTAATAACATCATATTGCATTAAGGTTTTTTCCTTTATTTTCACAAAAAATCTCATTTATGTAACAAAATAATTTTTTAGTGCAAAGATATGTTATAATTATAAAGCTAATATATTACATTAAGAAATATATTTGTCGCGAGAGTACACTGAGAAAACTTTATTTTCGGATCAATATGAATTTTGACTCGATATCAATATCGTCAAATTAACAAAAATTATCTCATTATTTCTATTATGCCTATTTAACAATAAGTAATATCCGCTTATCTGAATAATATACCTACCTGTAAAAATATATTTTTGTATGCCTATTTTGGACAGATCACTTTATTTTACAAAAGCAGATATCGCAGAGTTTTCTTCGAACGATCATGCAATACATGTGTATATATCAGCCTTCTTTATATCTTTTTTCTAAAAACATGGCTTTCAAAAGAAATACGGTATAAAAATTTGATATATAAAATCTTATTCCACGTTTACATCACTCTATCTTATCTTTTTCGCTTATAAATTCAACTTGAAACAGTAATTATAACTGTAATTATATACGTGGAACTTTCTTGGAAAATAATTATCTCATCGGAATAAATACATCATGTCCATATATTAATAAACAGAAAACGGAAGAGTCGAAAAAGTCTCGATAAAAGCAAGAATCATGCTCTGATGAATATCAAGGAGGTGGTAGAAATACTTTGAGATTACGCGATGCGACCGAAATAAACTGTATCTTCTTCGCAAGAGCTTTTATCGCAAACACTCTTGTCCCTAAATATCAATGAGCATTCAAACGCATTTATGAAAGATTTCTAGAAACGATAAATACGACAAAGTCTGATAATTCGTGACGACCGGAAACAAATTCGTACATTTCTTCGCATTCTTTAGACGAGTGATCAACATTTAACCGATGATTTAGATGAATGAGTCGATGTGGGAATGATACGCAAAAATTCTTGTTATGGAAGAAGAAGTCAATGAATAGGAAAAAATTATATAGTAGAAAATTAATTAAAAATGGGACCAAGATTATTTATCGCGATTATAGTCTACAAGTCTACACGATAAGCGTTATTTTAAAACTCCGCGAATTTCTATTTTGTCGTGATCAAAGATAAAGTTGGACGCGGGAACGATACAAGACTAACATAATCGCGAAACGGGAAAATGCCAAGTTATACATCTAAATTTTAACAACATTGTTAAGTAATACTTGGAACAAAGTTTGCGAAGTATATAAGCAAGTTTTTTCTTCCCTTTCAATTGTGATTGAAAGGATAAAGGAAGTTAAAAAAAGGGAAGAGTATTTTGTATATTTATATATAGTCTTAGGAGATCTAAAACAGGCAAAAATTTTTCTTGTTCTCAATATAAATTTCGCAAGTGGTAAAAAAATAACATTTTCAGGTGTAATTTATTTAAAAATTTGTGTGATTATACAACGACATACATGTGGAAAGAAATTTGACAAAATGAATGGAAGCCTGAGATTGTCTATGAGGAGTTTGAGAGTGCTACGCCAAAAGTATGCCATAAATCAAATATGCAAGGTACATGAGGTAATGTAAAAGATTATATAACAATAACGATAGTGTGGAGTGACATAATGTATATTTGACTTGACTTTGACATTGTATATAACAATATTTATAATAATATAGTATAATATTTACAAAATAAGTTAAAGTATAGAAGTACACATCAGTAGAGCTTAATTGCTTTAGTTAGCAGACTAGACATAATTATATGCAATACGTATTGAGAGATAGATTTCTTGGACGGTGATGAAAGACGCTCGCGCGACAGTGAATAAAGCGCGACCTTCCCAAAGTAGTCTCGAAATTCGTTGCCAAGCACAATGTTGTCGTCAAGATCCTTGCATATCCTTACACTTCTGTCCAGAATGTTCCTTTCGCGAAAGAAAGATGCACCTGGTCTCTCCTCTACGTATCCCTTCAAGGCCTCTTTCCAATGCTTGGCTACGTCCAGGCTACAACGAGCAAAGTCCTGTGACGAGAGCCAATACCACCGACCGCTACCTCGGCCGTGATGATGACGCCAAGTGAGTAATGATGTTGTCGCGCGCAGTTTTACAAAAGGCTGCGACGACAAAGATATTAAGCCAGGCTGTTGTTATTTGCATAACGATGAGCGAGGCCGTGACAATGACGATTTGATGAGATCCCATGATGATTGAGAGTCGATGATGATGTTTCTCGTAGCAGCTTGATTGCTCAGGGCAGAACGTCATGCTAGTTACGCGTTCTCCCCGAAGTAGGACGATATTCTTTCGATAAAGATTACATCGCTGCGTCAATGATCGTAATGTAACGACGCGCTTAGAAACATTTGCGGTGGACAATGCCAGGGCCGGACTCGTCGTACTCTTGCTTGGAGATCCACATCTGCTGGAAGGTGGACAAGGAGGCCAAGATAGAACCGCCAATCCATACAGAGTATTTCCTCTCGGGTGGAGCAATGATCTTAATCTTGATGGTCGAAGGCGCGAGAGCAGTGATTTCCTTTTGCATACGATCAGCAATACCAGGGTACATGGTGGTGCCACCAGAAAGAACGTTGTTGGCATAGAGGTCCTTACGGATGTCGACGTCACACTTCATGATGGAGTTGTAGACGGTCTCGTGGATACCGCAAGATTCCATACCCAGGAAGGAAGGCTGGAAGAGGGCCTCGGGTGTACGGAACCTCTCATTACCGATGGTGATGACCTGACCATCAGGCAATTCGTAGCTCTTCTCGAGAGAAGTGCTGGCGGCAGCGGTGGCCATTTCCTGTTCAAAGTCCAGGGCGACATAGCAAAGCTTCTCCTTGATGTCGCGGACGATTTCTCGCTCGGCCGTAGTGGTGAAACTGTAGCCTCTCTCGGTAAGGATTTTCATGAGATAATCGGTAAGATCGCGTCCGGCCAAGTCTAGACGGAGGATGGCATGAGGAAGGGCATAACCTTCATAGATAGGCACGGTGTGAGAGACACCGTCACCGGAATCCAAAACGATACCGGTGGTACGACCGGAAGCGTACAAGGAGAGGACGGCCTGAATGGCGACGTACATAGCTGGGCTGTTGAAGGTTTCGAACATAATTTGCGTCATCTTTTCGCGGTTAGCTTTCGGGTTCAGAGGTGCTTCGGTAAGGAGAACCGGGTGTTCCTCGGGAGCGACACGCAATTCGTTGTAGAAGGTGTGATGCCAGATCTTCTCCATGTCATCCCAATTAGTGATGATACCGTGCTCGATCGGATATTTCAAAGTCAGGATACCTCGTTTGCTCTGGGCTTCATCGCCTACGTAGCTATCTTTTTGACCCATACCGACCATAACACCCTGATGACGGGGTCGACCGACGATCGAGGGGAAGACGGCGCGCGGTGCGTCGTCTCCGGCAAAACCGGCTTTGCACATGCCGGAACCATTGTCTACCACAAGAGCGGCTACTTCGTCGTCACACATCTTGCTGCTGCTTTAGTTTCTCTGTAAAAAAATTGTGTCATTTAGGTTTAGCTCGTTGAATCTAACAGAAATTAATTAAAATTTATAATATGTTGATTCGTAAACAGTTTTTTTATCTCAGACTTATAATGATATTTGCAGAATCTTATTAATTTTTCTTTAATATGATATTCACTTATAGTTTCACATAATTTTATAATATATTTTTGTTTAATGAGACCCATGCAAAATAAGCACAAATCGCAATTACATACTGATCTCTTAAAAGTATAACTCGACATTCATTATTTAAATTAATTATATTTTAATTTTCAGGAATATAATAGAAGCTTTCTAAGAAGTGATAAGAATTTCAACAGAATGATAATTTTTTCTTTTCGTATATAAACGTATTAAACGGACTAAACGGACATCTCCTATATTATTCCAAAAATTCTGGATTATTCTTACTACGAGATAAATATAAAATCGAAATATCGTTATTCTTCTAGTCAATGTTGAATTCAAAGTATCAAATTAGGGTATTTAATTAAATGTACCAATTATTCAATATTTACGTAATTGATATAAATTGTTCTTTTAATAACATATGTGGAATTTTTTCTTCTTTAAAAATCTTCGTTAATCTATTGAATATTAACACAATATTGCTTCAGTCGATACACTTCAAAATCAATCCAATCTCTTTTTCATCAAACTATTCGATCTGACATAAACGCAATTCCACAACTAAACTTGTCCTTTCGATCAAAATCTCCCGTTCTTTATACACAGACGTGTTTCACAGACTTTTCCTTTCTCTCGAGATCCTCGGATCAATATTCTCACCGGCACTTCTGTGGCTTCTATAATTCGCGCGCAAACTTCCAAGTGATCACAAGCATAAGCACGAAAACGATACGCTGATCTTTGCTACTAACCGTGGGGGTGAGTTGTGAATTGACGGGCGGCTGAGGAGCGGCTGAGGCCCGAGGGCGTCGCGACGCCAGATATAACGTCCGCGATGCGATGCGCGACGCTACCGAAGATGGGCACGCGGGACGCCTCCAGGGCTGGCCAGCGACGCTGCCCACGCTTCGCATCTAGGCATGAAGTGGGTGGTGGATACATACACACGATCAGGAAGCTTTTGGGCGAGAACGGCGGCGACGCGGTTCACGCGCGTCGCGACGCGTCAGTTCTCGTCATCGTCGTTCTCCTCCTTTTCTTCCTTCGTCTTTTCTTCATCTTCTTGTTCGCGCTCTCTTGGAAATCCCCACGGAACGGTCGACATCTCCTAATCTAGACATTAACGCGGGCCATTGCCAATCGTCCGTTGCAGTTATCTGCTCTTCGTGACTCTCGTTGAATGATAATCTATTTTGTGATTAGATATCAAGAAAGATCTTTAATTGGATGATCGAATGTGCGATTTGCAGGTTTACATAATTTGATTTTTTTGTGAAAGAATATAAGAAATATAGCAGAGAATTTTTCGGATGATATGTGAATGAAGAAATTATTTTCTAAGATGGAAAGAAGAACACTGAATATATGCATGTGTATACACGCTTATTATAAAAGATTTTTATATTTTTTCTAATAATTTTTTAAGAACATAATTCTTAATAAGACTGTGAAAGTAGACTGCTAAAAACTAAAATTGATAATTCATAAGTTAAATTGATAAGAAATCGTATTTAAAATAAATCTTACAAATATTATGGGCTTGTCACGTTTTTCCCCTGAATATTTTAGAAGTCTTTTTTTTTAAATTCTTTATTTAATTAATGAGCATGTCCCGTATTTAGAAAGAGGTATATTCTAGTTTTATAAAGGATTTAAAATACACATTGTGCACATACAATGAATATAGTGCATATTTTCATCATTTCATTTCTTATAGGTCATCGTTTTCTTTTTTTTCAGCTTCGGCTTCTCGTGGTCGTTCTCCGAATTGCCGAGATGCTTTTGGCATACGCCGGAAATCCCCGATGCTTCGCGGCACTCCTGAAAATACTCGCTCATGGCCAAATCAGGCTATTAACGCGAGACGATGTACTCCTCCGGTGTACGAAGTACTATTTGATATTTGAAGAATCTATATTACATTGAAAAATAGAAGAGAGGAATAGCCCTAAACTAAGGAAGATTTTATTTCCATCAAGAAAAACCCTTGTCGCATTCTTTTTCGTCTGATTTAGTGAAGCGTTTGAACATTGCGACTTCGCACCACCTACATATGACTGTGACTGTGCCCTAAGGTATTTAGACAAATTGCCAATTGGCATTTAATTCATTCGTACACATAATGAAGTGTTATATGCGCGTTGTACGTAATAATTCATTCCTCTTTCGGCGAAAAAAAAAGTACATAAAACGAGAGAGGGAGAGAATAGAACGCTAAGAATAAATCCCGACGATTCGAGATTCAATCCTCACTCTAATCTACTCAATAGATGGGAATACTGTGGATGTGTATATGACATTGTTTTCGTGAAAACAATAATTGTGAAAGAAATAGTTTTATATTTCTAATTCTATCTCTGGACTTTGTTAATTGCATTTCTTTTTCTTACATGAAAATGTTGAAAGAAATTTCCGATATGTAATCTATGTCACAATCAATGTGTACTACTTTGTCAAGATTTAATATCAACTTTAATCAATGATTTTATTTAAGATCATTTTAAGATAACTTTTGTTCGAAGTAAAGCAATTTATGTACTCGACGATACTACACAATTTATTTGTAAATTTGCAAAAAATATATTTCTTTCGAGAATAGATTTTCAATGAATATTTACTTTTGACTTTTATCATAAATAAGTTAATAATTAAGATCTATTTTGATATGTACTTGTCGGAAATCTTGCCGGAAGCGCGCTTCAAGGTACTCCGATCTCTTTTTTAAATCTCGACAATTAGATTGTCCGATTTATTGCCTGATGATAGATCAACGAAGCGTTATATAAAATCATAAGTGTAACGCGTAGATACATACACAAATTCTATAGATCTTATATCTTTAATCTTTGTGAAATCTAGTACAACCTTGTTTTTCAGCGCAAAATAAATTCATACGTGCAATAATTTCAACGAAGCAAAGGACGAAAATATCAGGAATACGGTAACAAAATGGCTCACATTATTTTACATCCGGATTTAATTTAATTATAGAATATATGTGTCTAACATCTGTAATTTTAATAATTATATAAAAGTTTTCTGGTTTAATATATGTTTGTTTCAAATATTAAAAAATGAAATAATTATAATATATTCAAACATTTATAATATATTTTTTAGTAGAATAGGGAAATATATTGTTGCAAATCAAATCTATTTACTAACATTTGCATCATCTCACATCAGTATAGCAACTAAAACGCGATTATGTCTGTGTAATTAGAAGAGATTTCTTTACACATGATTAGCAACCGTTTCTTCTAGCATTTTATTGGCTAAGCTAACTAGCAAGATATTCTCCTTAGATGGACTCGGTTTTTTAGCATCTCGTATTTTTAGACGAGTGGTGAAAATCTTTCAAGATCTTATCTAAAAGCCGAGAGAGAATATTTATGCCTACAACCTAAACAAATATTCAATCTGAGAGCTACAGTTAATTTATTTTACGACATTCTTGACATTAACGTTGCTACTCAATATCGTATAGAC